TTCTGCAGTGAACGGAGGGTCCCAGCCTGGATGTCCATGGAAGCAAAGCCCAGGGCGAGGACTTGGATCAATGTTTTACCAGGGAGGAGACTTCAGGAAGAGGGAACAGGGAGAACGGTCAGAAGGACAGCCGTGCGGGGTCAGTGCGGGGACACTCCGGCCACTCTGAAGCCTGGGCTGAGGCTGGCATGGATCTGTGACTCTTGCCCCACAGTTTGCTGGCTTCTTCACTCCCACCTCCAGCTGCACAGAAATGCCCTGGAGGGGACTGTTGGCTTCCCCCACACACGCCAACGACCCACAGCCCCACCTTCAGGGACTTGCAAACCAGAGGCCACTGCAGGCCAAGGTGGAGGGATGATGCGTCGCTGCCATGGCCTTCTGAGATTCCCCACACCAGAACACATGCAAGTTGTGGAGTGCTGAGCCAGCTCCGAGCATCCCTCCTGGAGGTGTGCTCTGTTCATGATGTCTACATTCATGCGCCCCTGGCGGAACTGTGGGGAAATGGGTGTTATGTCTTTTCGTTCCTATACACACTCACTTTCATCCGGGAACATGTTCATAGACTGAAGCTGGGCACAGATCCCGAGCATGCCTCAGCTTGTCGAGGGGAAGCAGACACCTGCACTGCATCTGGAAGTCGGGCTGGACAGTTCCCACCAGCCCCTGTCCCCACCAAACACACTGTGGTCCCTTCCTTCCTGGCCTGCCCAAGCCTGCCCAAGCCCAGGCATCAGGAAGGGGAGGGAAAGGCTGATGGAGCCCCGTGGGCACAGCTAGCCTCGCCGTCTCTGGGCTGAGCTCCCTCATCTGCAAATCAGGGGGTTCGATTAAAAATCTCCAAGCACTGTCGCTCTCCTGTGCAAGGAGCTGTGGTTCTCATTAGGGATCCTTTACACTTAACACTTCGGTGTGTTTGTTCTCGGGCGAGTCTTTACTTCCCGGAGATTAGGCTTGAAGTTCATGTGGTGAGCGTGTCCCCAAAACAAGCTTTATGGAGGCAGTTCCTGGTGGCTTTAATGGTGCTAATAAAACCCACACAACCTTGTGATCAGGAGAGTCTTAGGGAGACATGCACAGATTCTCCTTTTAGGAAGTCACGGTCTGCTCAGGCTGCTCTAGCAGAACACGGCAGCCTGAGGCTGGGTGGGGAGGGCGTCTGGTGTTGGCCTTCTGAGAGCCCCACACCAGAACACATGCAGGATCCACAGCATTCCATGCCCCAACATGCGTGGATCTCATCATGGTGTTATTAGGTCAGGACAAAGGGGCGTGTCCCCCATGGGGGTCTGTACAGAAACGAAGGGTGCAGGCTATGGGGTGGGGGCTGCTCTTTGGCCTGAGCAGTGCTGTGCAGGTGGCCTCGTGTTGACAAAGCCATGGAGCTGTGTTTGCCGGCGTGTGTGCAGGCTACATTCTATGCATGTGGTGAAGAAAGGACTGGATGGACTCACAGCCTTCGGGTGGATTCATGAGGCAGAAGATGAGAAGATGGCCTGGATGTGGGGCAGCTCCAGTCCTGTGTGTGCTCATCAAACCCATTTCAGGGTGAGGCCCTTGGATGGGCCTGGGGCTCTAGACATGTTCACTGAGGGGGACATCAGCCCTGAGGCCATGGTCAGATGTGTGGCCGACTCTGCCTCTTTGGAGACATCCCTGGCACTAGACAGTGGTGTCCCAAGGACCTTGAGGAAAGGCCTCGCTTGACGGGGTTTACCTGAGCACTTCATCAGCCATCCCTGGGCACAGTTGGGGGCCAGATGCAGGGGGCAGATCTGGGCATGAGCAAGCAGGCCCTAGGCAGGGTGGGCACAGAGAATGCTGACACCTGGGGCTCAGGAGAGACTCCACTTAGAAAGAGACAGTGAGCAGAGTGGGGTCCAGGCTGGCCTGGCAGAGGCCGAGGCTGTGGCTCTTCCTTCCACACCTGGGAAACCTGGTCATGCAGAGGGCGATGGTGATCTGGGGTCGGGGTGGCCTTCACCTAGTGGAGGAAGGAGCAGAAGCCACTGCAGGTTCAGGAGGCTAGGGACAGTGAGAGCCCATCTTAGGGCCCATCTGGAGACTGGGCCATCAGGTTCCTCCTGGGGTGGGGGCATTGAGGCAAACCTGCCTGCTGGGTGGGCAGACCCCTTTACACCAGAGGCTGGGTGAACACCACCCCTGTCACACACACATGTATGCACACGCTCATGCACACACACGTGCACACACATGACCACAAACATTTACAAACACGCATGCATTCACACGTGCACATACAGAGAGATTCATACACTCTCATGCAATACTCATATACACATGTATGCACACACATATCTACATGCTCACATACACATGCACACATTCACATGTGCATGCACACAGATTCACACAGTGTGTGCAAATGCCCGTACACACACACACACTCAAGCACGTATATACATATGTGCACACTCACACATATTTTCCCTACTGCTTCCTCCCTGGATGGAGAGTCCTTTGCGGAGTGCTGAGCCAGCTCCTAGCATCCCTCCTGGAGGTGTGCTCTGTTCACGATGTCTACGTTCACGCGCCCCTGGTGGAACTGTGGGGAAAGGGGTGTTATGTCTTTTCATTCCTATACACACTCACTTTCATCCAGGAACATGTTCATAGACTGCAGCTGGGGCACAGATCCCGAGCATGCCTCAGCTTGTCTGAAGCAGACACCTGCACTGCATCTGGAGGTGGGGCTGGGCAGTTCCCCCCAGCCCCTGTCCCCACCAAACATACTGTGGTCCCTACCTTCCTGGCCTGCCCAAGCCCGCCCAAGCCCAGGCATCAGGAAGGGGAGGGAAAGGCTGATGGAGCCCCGTGGGCCCAGCTAGCCTCGCCGTCTCTGGGCTGAGCTCCCTCATCTGCAAATCAGGGGGTTCGATTAAAAATCTCCAAGCACTCCGTCGCTCTCCTGTGCAAGGAGCTGTGGTTCTCATTAGGGATCCTTTGCATTTAAGACTTCGGTGTGTTTATTCTCAGGAGAGTCTTTACTGCCTGGAGATTAGGCTTGAAGTTCATGTGATGAGCGTGTCCCCAAAACAAGCTTTATGGAGGCAGTTCCTGGTGGCTTTAATGGTGCTAATAAAACCCACACAGCCTTGTGATCAGGAGAGTCTTAGGGAGACATGCACAGATTCTCCTTTTAGGAAGTCTTGGTCTGCTCAGGCTGCCCTAGCAGAATATGGCAGACTGGGCGACTTATGAAGAACAGACATTCGCTCCTCACCATCTGGAGGCTGAAGCCCAACATCAGGTGCCGCAGACTGGGGGTGTGGTGGGGCCGCTCTCTGGCTCATGGAAGGTGCCTTCCACATGTCCCGCCGTGGTGGAGCTGGGGAGGGGTCTCTCGAGCCTCTTTCATAAGGGCCCTGATCCCATCTCCAGGGCTCCATCCCCAGGCCTGACACCTCCCAGAGGCTGTGTCTCCTAAGACCATGTCTGGGGTTAGTATTTCAACACAGGGATCTGGGGAGGGGGTGGGAGCAGGGGGGAGGGCAGAGGCTGGGGGAACAGCCGAGCTGTCTGCTCCGAGTCCTCCAGCAGGCAGGCCTGTCCTGGGGCCCATCTGAGGTTGGGCCATCAGGCCCCTCCAGGGTGGGACATCAGGCACACCTGCCTGCTGGGTGGACGCTAAGGCCTCTTCTCCTGCAGGGCTTCCCCGGGAACACCAACGCCGACAGCGTGGTGCAGCATGGGCTGCGGCCGCCCGTGGAGACGCGGCACCTTCGCTTCCTGCCTGCGGCCTGGAACCCCAACAGCAGCATCGGGATGCGCGTGGAGGTCTACGGATGTGCCCACAGTGAGTAGTGAGGGGCCGCCTGCAGAGGGGCAGCGCTCCCGGCCGGAGAGGAGCTCGTCCTTACCTCACCCGACAAGCACAAGTGACTCTTCTTCCGTGTTCTTGTATAAACCTGAGATAAAAATATCAGACTGTCCTAGGATCCTCACACTGAGCTGTGTTACTTCTCCAAGTGTGGAAGGCCCTAGACAGGGACGGGGCTGCTGTAGGTCCTGCCAGAGCCAGGGGTCCAGGCCTCCATCTCTGTCTCTCTCTCTGTCTGTCTGCTCAGTCTCTCTCTGTCTCTCTCTGTTTGTGTCTTTCTCTGTCTCTGCCTCTATCTCTCTACCTCTGCTCTGTCTCTCTGTCTCTGTCTTTGCTGTCTCTCTCTGTCTTTCTGCCTCTGCCTCTATCTGTCTCTCTGTCTCTGCCTGTCTCGGTCTGTCTGTCTCTTCCTCTATCTCTTTCTGCTCTGTCTCTCTGCCTCTTTTTCTCTCTTTGCCTGTCTCTCTGTCTGTCTCCCTCTGTCTTTGCTCTGTCTCTCTGTCTCTTTGTCTCTGTCTCTCTGTCTCTCTGTCTCTCTGTCTCTGTCTCCATCCCTGTCTCTCTGTCTCCATCTCTGTCTCCCTGTCTCTGTGTGGGCAGTCATTTCACAACCCCTCTGCCTGCTAGGCTGGGGTCCTGAGGTAACTGGGGTGGTCCTGCAGGGCTCAGGCTGGCAGCCGTGTGGGTCCCTCCTCCCCATGCGCACATTCGTCAGGGGCTGCTCATTTGAGGAGGACGCAGCAGGGCGTGGAGGTGGAAGATGCTCTACAGAAGCGCGTCTCCTTTCCTCATAAGGAGGAGCTGGACCAGGGATTGTGCCAAAGGCCCTGAGAGCTGCACACGGCAGCCTGAGCCTGGGTGGGGAGGGCGGCTGGTGTTCAGGAGCATCTGCAGCCATGGAAAGTGGCCTGAGGGCTGTCGGATGTGGGGGTCCGCAGAGGAGGGACACCCCGAGAAGGATCTGGGGTTCCATGTGGGGACTCAGCTGTCCCCCTGAGGGCCTCTGCCCTGTGGCCATTGGGGATGTTCAGCACTTTCTCCTTCCCATGTGTCTCCACACACCCCTGGACACCCTACAAGCTGTGCCCTTCACAGGACCCCAAACACTCTGCTGGGTCTGGCAATGCTCACGGTCCTGAGGGTAGAGCGGCTCCAGGCGTGGTGTGCCCGCAGCCCTGTCCCTGCTCGTGCCTTCCTCCAGTGGTTGCACAGCAGAGAGTGCCCTCCGCTCCCACCCCTAGAGGAGGCGTCACGCAGCACCCCTGCATCTACCAACAGCGAGCCGCTGGGAACATGAAGGTCTGCGTATGAGTTCAGAAGGTAGTTCATCACCACAAATGTCAAAACAGCCCCACGCCTGGCCAGTGGCTGCACCAGGCGCTGCCCACGGCGCCCAGGACACGCGGCTCTTGGCACCCCCGTCACGTCCTGCAGCCAGCTTCCCTGCGCGCTCCCCGCCCATCAAGTGCCCCAGGTCCTGGTCTCCAGAGGCGGCACAGACCGGCGTCTGCAGCCCGGCCTGCTGTGCGGTGCTCCTGCCTGGGGCTCGCTCTGTCTCCTGGTGGGAGGTCCCGCCTCTGTCCTTTGCCTTGATCTTGTCCCCCATGCCATGTTTTCATCAAGCCCTGGGCACCACGCTTTCCTGTATGGTTTGTGGGTTGCTGGGGTTAAAGTTTATCCTGACACCTGCTGAGACAGTGAGGAAGACCTCACTCAGGACTAGAGTGACAGGGAGAGCCCGGGCTCCACTCTGACTGGCGCAGAGACTGGGGCACACACAGCCGAGGAGCAGAGCGGGGTCAGCAGACGGGAGGTGACCTGGAGGAGGCCTCAAGGGGAGGTTCTCCCCAAGCCGGCCCCACAGGGTCTGGTCCAGGAGGGACTTTTGTCACCAGGTGCGAGCGGATGGCTTTGCCTCCCTGAGCTCCTCTGCGTCGCCATCAGGTAAAGGCAGGTCCTTCTGGGCCGGCGGCCACTGTGCACGTGAAGAGCCGTCTCTGTCCTCAGCACAGGCCCCTCTGGACACTCCATTTCCACATCCAGCAGCTCTGAGATACCTCATTGGACCATAACCGAATCATTTATTCTAATCCCCTCCAAGAACTGTTGATTATCTGTGTTCTCATCTCAGCAGCAGATCTGCTCTTCTGCAGTGACTCCGATCAGTTAAGTCACAGTCCCCCACACCTGGCCAGTCCCCAGCCTGTGGTTCCACCTGCTAAGTCTGTGTGGGATGCACTGACCGCCCCTCCTC